TTTATGCACTTCACTGACTGTCTCAACAGTCCATTTTAGGAATATGTGACCTTGTGTTTGTGTTTTTCTAATCACTTGACCATTTTTAAAATGCCCCAAAATTAAACCATCTGTGTTCCCATTGCTCTCTGCTAGTGCCAATTGGAGAACAAAAAAAAATATTTGTCGTCTGTGATGTATTTAACTGGCAGCTGTTAAAGCGTTTGAGAGCCATTTGACTGTGCATCGCTGCGTGCACATTATGCAACCTTTCCATGACATCAGTTGTGCAGCTGATGACATGGTGGCCAACAGCTTATAAAGTCAGCAAGTTAAGTTTGGACAAACTCATGAACCAAGTCAAATAGTACACATCTGTGCATTTGTTTGGTTGCTGCCAGGCAACAGCAGGCAGTCCATTCCCTCAGAGGCCTACTTAGCCAATAAAGTGTGATATCAAGAAAGTTTGATCCATCCATACAAATGTGTGTCCTATTGAGAAACACTGTATTTGATAGCATGGTGGATATTGTTGATACACATAATGGTTTCAAGGCGGATTTACGAGTTGGAAAGCTAATTTATTGTGACTTGGAGCTTCTAACAAAAGAGACTCACTACTGATTGTTTTGGGTTTGACCGTAATGTGCTGTGTGACATAGCTCAGAATCATTTTACACAAAGGAAGTGTGCTTCCTAACGCTGCATTTATATTGGACAGACATAAGTGCATCGCTCCTTTTCAGTTGGCTGCGTATGGGTACTACAAGGGCGTTCTCTGCAAAATCCAATAGGAATTTAGTCAGTATTAAAGTTTATAATTCTTAGAGAGAGAGAGAAAGTCAAAGACTCGTTCAAGGGCCCACTCTACTTTAAAAAATGATTCCACAGATCATATTGGATAATTATGATACATAGACTTGCTCCAGTAGTGCATCGTTTTTTATACGCTGCAAGAATGTGGTGACAGAATGACAAACTCCTGACATTTGACTGCCAACCTGATCATTCAGTTGATTTATTGCAGTCTTCTGCAAGTTCGCAGCAGGAGTTGGCAATACTAGTCTGTGCCAAGCCATTGCTTTAGCTTTAAGTGCCAAGCTACAGCCCCTGTGAACTACGGAGGGTTTTGTGGCTTTAGAGTCTATATATATAAGAACAGGGGAAAGAGTAATGACTTGGAACTTATTTCTTTGTTCTCATACCCAACATTTTAGGTAATGCAATAGGTTCACAAAAAAACAACAACAACAAAACAATGTTAACTTACTCGAATTGTAGTTAGTAAGCCAAACATTTAGTGTCTGAAGTTAGCTTCTTTAGTGTTGCTGCGAGGCTAATGTAGCTAATAAGTGGTGGAAGCTTAATCATCATGAATTTAGGTTGTTCAAACTGCATGCTCAAATCATCATACACTTGCTTCAAGTTATTTCAGGTTGTTAAAGCCCCTGTGTGCTCACTTTCCTGATTGTATTCTATTATCTATAGTTTTTGTGATATTTTGCTATGAACTGGCAGAGAAAGAAAAACATTTCTTTTGAAAGATTTTTAAAATTTCCTTTTTTTCTGCCATTTTCTTCAGTTAGATTTGAGTTGGGTGGGACTAAATTTGAAAGTGACTTCAGATCTGCCATAGTACCAGTCAGATTTAGCAATATGTATATGTCAGCTTCTCGCGTTCTTCTCCCTCACATAATGTGCCTGCTCTCCCGCTGCTCCAAGTTCCAGCCAAAATTCCCAGCAAGTTGGTTATTTAAGCATTTTTTGTTAACTACACTTGTCATGAAGGGTTATGAAGGTTCACAGTATTTCCCCTCAATTGTACTTTCCAGACATGAATAAGGCACATTAAAAATTTCTCCACAATGTCTGCAACTATGACCATGCCAACTCTTAATGGGAGCTTCTATGACCTCAGTTTTAGCAGTAAGCTAGCTAGTAAACTATAGGTTGTGGATAACTATAGGATAACATTAGTGCTAAGCATTCGAATATTAGACATAATATATCCATGATCTGCCTGTCATAAGATTAAAACCTGAGTTCTTGAACATTAACTGCAGTTAAATTGTATTCATTTACAAATCGCTGCTGTCAGAACAAAACGTCCTATCTCAATTTTTGACGTTTTTTAGTTTTTGACAAAATTTAAAAATGCCTGTTCCTGTTTACAGTGTATGGAAATTTCATGATGAATGGACTAAATGAAATGGCCCAAGAAGACTGGAAAAAAAGTCTGGTTCTGTAGACTTACATTAAAAGTAAAGTAGGTTTTTTCCTTCTCCTGTACAGCTGTCATTTTGTTCTGACAGCAGCGATATATTTTAAAATCTAACAATGGTAATCCCTGATTCCATGGCGTATATTTACTGCTAAAACAGAATTTTAAATCATGTTGACAGAGGCTTTAAGTAATCTCAAATGGACTTACTTATGTGGTTATGTAGCACTGTATGACACACTGTTATTTAGTCATTTGGCACCAGATTTAGGCTACGGGATGACTGTTAACTGGTGAACTGATTTGTATGAACATTTTTGGAAGTTCTAGATTAAAGACAGGTATTTGAACCTTCTAAAATACACTTCATGTTTAGCTTGAAGCTTGTGACAGAAATATTAGCAAATGTCTTGCCTTGTAGCAATTTCACACTGACTCTTTTGAAAGACTCTGCTGAATGGTAGAGAGCACTGGCACAGAGCTGCCTTTGGTGTAAGGGTAATTTATTTTTCACATGGGCTTCAGATAAATTAGTAGGTTGGATGTTCTTTGGCTCTGTGAATTACTGGGCTTTAATTATGTTATCATGCTATAAAATATTCATGTCTCAGTGACGATAATAACAATACCGTCATATTCTGCTTTTCTAACAGCAAATCATGTAACAGCATGGATCATCCAGTGAACTGATCAGTGATGTGCTCATACCTGTGTAATAATGCAAAATATCTGAAATAGCCGGTACAAATGAATGCTCAATCACATAGAATACAGCTTATAATCCTTTTCTTAACCTAAACACTTACACATCTCTCAAAGCCCTTTGGCTACAGTCCGTGTTTTGCTCTCTGGCCAGTCACTTAACCACAATTAGCCTAACTCTTTTTCCCTTTCTGAATCTGGCCAGCCCTATAAAGTTATTCATACTTAATTATTGTGACTCTGTTTCTCAGGCAACTCATTTTACAGTTCTTTACAGCAGTGCAAGTTGTAGCAGAGGGTACTGGGTAGGATGTGTTGATCAGACTTTGTGATAGCACAGAGGGGCTGTCCTGGGTTTGTGCAATTTTCAGTCAGTCTGCTTCCAAAAAAACATCCCTGTAATTCAGAGGATATAAATACATGCTTCACATTTTGTCTGGCTTAGCCCAGACGACAAACGTAAAGCCAGGCTTGTGGCAGCAGATTCGGCCCATATCGCTGAATGTAGGTCAGACTCGTTCATCAATTTCCCTCAGTGCTCTGGTGCAGTTGAGCTTCCATGCTGGGGCCTTATTAGCTTTAATCAAGCTCATACATGTATTATTTGTTATGTGGAGTCCATGTTTGCTGGGTAACCTCTGCAGCAGGGGTGTTAACTGGTGATCATTACCTCTCGTAAGTTGCCAAAATTGCCAGCGACAACTAATGTCACCAGCGACAGAATGTAGAGTACTGTTCAAAATCAGAGACCACCCTTTCATTTGTTTAAATTCCATTTACAGAAATGAAGATTAGTCATATTTATGTCCGGAAAAAAGCAGGAATAGACAATAACACAAAACCTCCAGCCCAAAGTATAATATAAAATCTAATTGTAGATTTTAGAGTATAAAAAACAAATCAGTATTTGATTTGTCCGCTCTTTAATTTTGTGTAACCTGCTGCTTTAACTCTTCCATCCTTCTAATCTTAAAACCAACCAAGTTGCAGCTCTGTACACCCAACCGAAGGTTGCCAAAGGAGTCACTGACATTATGTTACCCTTCAAAGAGACATTAACATTCACTCAAGCAACTATCCAAACACACCCCTAGCTGCCTGGCAATTTTATTTGTCATGTGCATCTAACATAGCTAAAGGAGATATTTGTGAGAGGATTAGATATGAGATAATGCACAAGCATAAGGAAGGAACAGTTTAGTGAAAAATAAGTGAAAAAAATCAAGTTCAACAAAATCATTCAAAGACATAGAGAAAATGGGATACCTAACAACCAAGCAACACTTGATAGGCTACTAAAACTGTCACCATCAGATAAACAGTACATAAAGCGTTCATCTTTGATAGGAAAAATCAATCAAGTAGCTGTTGAAGCTTCTGTGTAATTTTCTGTTAAATGTTTTTTGCTTTTTTCTGACACTGAAAAATGACTTACTTAATGTCCGTTTTGCCTTAAATTTAAATAAATAAAAGTGTGGTCTCTGACTTTTGCACAGTACTGTAAATCGAATGTAACTGTAATGTCTTACTCAGCTAAGTAAACGTTTATGTAATCGTGCAAGTAGCATAACAAAATGACAGTAATAACTGTAGACTTGTACGGCTTAAACCTCACATTGTCAATAAACCCCCCTCAGCCTGTGCCAAGTACAAGTTCTCTGTCCATCTTGGATAGTTTAATTTAAAGCTCATGTGTCCACTGCACTTTAACCCTTCATAGCCAGAGGTTGTTTATCCAGAGTCGAACAGGCACCAGAAGAGTTAGCGCGGCTCATGTCGCCCAGAGACATGGCTTGCATCCATGCCTGTGGATCAGAACGTGGGATTTACTTGGTTTAAAGTTGACTTAATTCACAGAGGCACACACAAGCTTTAATGAAATGTAAACCCACGCGTTTGCCGCAGGGACGACTTGTTGCTAATGGACAGAAAAATGGCCCATGTGCTCTACCTGCCTGAATGAATGGCACTGACATTTTTCCACTGTAGGCCATGTGGAAAAACGTGTTGATATGACTTGCTGATTTTTTGTTAATACACATTCTTAAGTGATCCCTGATGTTGCACTCTCTCTAAAATGTCCCATTCTTCTCCACAGCTGCTGCCGAGGGGAGGGTGAATGGAGGCGAGGATTTCTTTCAGAAGGTAAGGAAAACCACATTGCTTTGGCAGCTCTAGGTAGTGGTACAAAATAGGTCAAAATCACATTGCATACACAATTATGTGACTACTGAATGACATATGGGCATGCTTAACTTTTCCTTGTTGAAACCTGCAGCTAGAAAATAGCAGAATAATCAAATTTCTTTGATCGTCAGAAGGTTCGCCTGAGGGTGTTGGGCTGCTGATTAATGAGCTTTGTGTAGCGTGTCAAGTCGACTCACCAGCTTTTGCTGAGGTAGACCTGTCCTTTTGTTGCCTGAGCCAAGACAAGCACACTTCACCTGTTCCGATGCCTTTATAGAGGAAATGGTTGTAAGCTTTTAGGCAGGACACTCGCAGGCCTAATTGGCACCGTGTGGATAAACACAGAGTGGCGAGCATGTGTGACTGGCTAGACGGCCCTGGGTGAAGGAGAATGCAAGCCAGGACCTGATTGAGTCCAAGGCAGGTGGCCCGACCAGGCCTCTTTACAAGCAGAATGGAGTAACGCCTTCAAAATAAATATGCTCTCCGTCCATTTTACAAAAGAATCCCCACTCTTGATGAAGTCGTTTCGTTCATGTAAACCTGAAAGGTGTGGGAAAATAAACGTGCTAGGCGAAAAGTGCATGGACTGCGCCTCTCTGGACCTATTCTGGAGGATTACAGCCCACTGCCGGCAGGATCTCGGACTCCTTCGGACAGTGGCAGCTAGAGCTGATACTGATCCTCAGGAATGTCAAAGCTGGATATTCAAATAAACATCATCTGCTGTGTCTCAGCCAGTGCATTTAAAATTTGTCAGCTGAGTTAGCGGATGTTGGACATTTGATGGAGAGGAGAGAGCAGATGTTCTCTGAAATTTGGGCTGTGCAAAAGACAGTAACTCTTTTGTGCTTTTGACTCAGTTCTTGTAATAATGATATCATACACATTGTACAAAATCATGTGAGGGGAAAACAAAAAACTGATATTTGAACATTTTCTCTGGTAAAAGGTGGAGCAGGACTGATATCTTTCCTCTTCAGTGTGCAAGTGCTGAAACAAGACATTTTATCTAAATAGATATTGCAAAGTTAAGCACATGACAGTCAAACAACAGAAAATTACACAGAAAATAAATCCTCCACAGTCCAAAAATCTATATTGAATAACAAGAGGAAGAGGAAGGCATAGTATTATCAGTCTTTTGACTCGCACCTAGCTTGGCCAGCCATTCCTGCTGCGATTGAAATATGCAGGTTGCTGTTCGTGCTGACTGGGCAATCTGCCTCTTGCAGGTCGGGGAATGATACCAGCCTGCTGAAACGCGGCGTGTTTTCAATCACAACATTGAGTTCCTGTCCGCCCCGCAGCCGCGGCTTCGTGGCTGAGCCAGCTTGCATACTGTGAGACGGCACAATGGCAGGATTCAGCCTTTCTCTGTGGATGTTTACGCTCATGCTGAGAGCTGAGATCAGGTCTCCGGAGGAGACCAATCCTCGCAAAACCTCACCACTCTTTCCCGCAAATGCACAGAAATACTAAAGCCACCTTTACCGTTTGCAAATTTCCACAGAGAGCAGTTCAGTCGACACTACCGTGTAACTTGATGTATTGTTTGTTTTAGAAGCTTTTTTCCCTTTAGCCCACCAGGACGAATGTAGCAGTACAGGTTGACAAAATGAATACTACAGGCCCTTAAGTGGAACCCCTGTGAGGATTTGCCGATTGCTGTGTTTCGGTTTCAGTTCATTTTTGTGAGCTGGAGGCTGATGAAATCACAATAAATGGTGACTCTGGTCGTGTAACGCTTTATCAAAGCTTTTTAGAACATTTTTCAACCAAGTGCAAAAACTTCTGAAATCTGATCCCACATCGCAAGCCTTTGCAGAGTATGTTATCTTGTGCTTTTGCAACCCATCCGGGATCGATATTAAAAACCCAGAATCGGTTCATTTTAGTGGTTTGCAGTCTTATGCACAATCATGATGAATCTAGCAAACCCATTTCTTTTGAAGCATTTGACATTTTTTAGCCAATTGTAAACACACTTGCTTTTCTGCTCCAGTGAATACCTCCAGTGTTTTGCAGCATGGCTTGCAGCATGTTTTACTGAAAACACCGTGTCACATTAATGTGTTTTACCTTGTTGTGCTTGTAACCCACCCAGGATGAAATCTAAAATCAGGTATACAGTACTGTGCAAATGTCAGAGACCACCTTTTCTGTTATTCACTTTCCAGTCAGAATGGCCATTAAGTACAAGTTATTCATTTTTCAGTGTCAGGAAAAAGCAGGAAATGTATTTAAAATAAATACAATAAATACAATATCAAGTCAAAAGAGACATTAACATTCACACAAGCAACTATTCAAACATACCTTAGGTGCCTTGGAAATTTCTTTCTCATGTGCATCTAAGATGGCTAAAGGAGGAAGATCAGACATAAGATAAACCACTTGCAAACAGACAGGGAAAGACAAAGGGAAATAAGAGAAAAAAGAACAGAAGTTTCTGAAACTGGAGTTTTTTTTCTTAAATATATAGAAAAAATGGGATACCTAACAACCATGCAAGACCTGGTAGACCACCAGACTGGTCACCATCAGGTAAACTGCTTTCATCTTTGAGACATCAAACCCCACTCTTGCTTAAGATTTGAAAAAAACATCCACAGGTGTGTCTGTCCATCCTTCCACTGTAAGAAAATGGAACAGCAGTCGGACCTCATGGGTTGAGAAGTCAAATTTCTAATTGATGTTACTTGGATAGTAAGAAGCAGAGAATGCAACCAAGTTCTAAGACTAAACCTTTGCAGAGCTTATAAGATGCTTGGAAAAACAACCCTGCAGATTTCTTAAAAAAATGAAAGTCCCCTGAAAAGAATGGAAGCTGTAATAAAGGCAAAGGCTGGGCATGCTAAATATTATGAAACATTTAATATCAGGCCTGTATTTTAGTAGTAGGGCTGTAACAGTCAGATAATTGCATTTTCATAATGTAAATATTATCTTGCATATTTAAATATTCTCATTATTAATGAGACAATGGAAATACATCACAGATAAACAACTTCTCTCAGAACATGTAACATAACATGCTATTCTGGGGAATCCTGCACAATCTGGCTATGCTACCCAGGTTCCTGAGACTGTTTGAACAGTGCTGGAGAGCAGCATCTTTATACCAACATTGTTTTAGAAACTAAAAACATCTTCTGGGTCAACTTTTGTCAGAGAGAGTGGGGTGACCAAGTTTTAGATTGTATATGATCAGGTTTTTCAAAAATGCTTTATACCTGAGCAAGTGCTAAACTCAGCTGCATTAATCTTAACGGCCAGTGCAGTTTTAATGTTTCTGTAATATGTAATGTAATCTGCTCTGGACAAAGAGGTTGCAAGGTTTTTTAGACTCTCTCATTTATTCTCGAAAATTAGTGCATCTGAGAGCAGGTTAGCCAGCAATCCAGAGCAGTAGGGAAGTTGGACATTTGGACTGCACCAGGCTACTAAAACCAACATTATCGCCTCTAATTAGAGATCTAATACAGACTGTTAGTAACAGAGTCTCGTTAGCCCCACCTTTTGACTACTAACAAGATATCACTCTGGCTTTGACAGGAAAGATCTTTTGACCGACATGAAAAAAGGGCTAACCATAACTCACTGTTTCTGCATGAAGTGCAGGCAGATTACTTTATTCTCTGTCACCTCATTAGCATTAAACATATAGCCTTGTAAACTAAACTGCTATTCAACTATTGTATTCAATAATCAACTATTGTTTTATTGAATATTCATTACAGCCCTATTAAGTTGTTGATGATTCTGTGTAATGTTCTGCTAGTTTATCCTTTCTACTTTTTTCCTGACATTGAAAAGTGAATAATTTGTACTTAATGGCTGTTTTGATTGGAATTAAATAGAAGAAAGGTGGTCTATGACTTTTGTACAGTACGGGATCTCCCAAAAACAGCTAATCTTATCCAGTGACTCTTCATTGCCTGTACTAATCTATGTACAGACACCAGCATAGTTTTCTGATCAGTGCCCTCCCCCTGCTTAACTCAGGCTTCATTTCCATATTGAGGGCATTGGTGCAGGCTCCTTTCTGCGCCCCAGTCCCCCCAAAACCCCTAACTTGTTTATCAAGTGAGGATGGATTGTAAACTGTGAGTTATTTGTCACAGAGCTGGATGGAGGTGCTGGAGGTAATGAGAAGCAGGTGTGTCTGCTGGAAGAGGACAGCTTCATTAGCACTTTTCATTGGGCTTAGTGCGAAAACATGTTCGTAAACACTGAGGCAGTTTAACCATGTTACATTGGGTGGAAGAAAGAATAAGGCTGCTCCCAATCAGGTAGTGAATGTTAACACGAGCCTGACAGAATGCATCACCACAAGGGTTGATGCTTGGGCTTTGAATCTACTGTGGTTCCTGGAATACGGCTGAAGTCGTGATTGCTACTGTGTATTACAATAACAACCAGCTGTGTGCCCTATTTCTGAAATCATGGAATATATACTGTTGAAGTGTTGTCTTATGATGGACAGTTTCAAAGACATAATGGTTGCTTTTTAGTTTTGAATATTTTAAAAGGAGTATTTTATTTCAGCATGGCGTCCAAGTACACACTCTCCTTCTGTTAGTACAAAGGCCGACACTGTAGTTTGTGCCTGTCATTCCAAATGAATCTGACCTTCTTTTGCTTATGAAGGCTTAAATGTCTCATAGCCATTGTTCATTCCATATTGATTTACATCCAGATGTTCTCACCAAGATACCTGCACTGTGTCATATACTAGAAGTCCTAGAAACAATATTTTATATATAATATATAAGGGGTGGGAATCTCTAGGCACCTCACGATTCAATTCGATTACGATTCAGAGGGCTGCGATGCGATTATAAAGCGATTATCGATGCATCTCGATGCATCTTTTTTTTTCTATACAGGATTTCTGTTTTCTTACTGTGTCAGGACGTGGTACTTTTAAAGCAAAGTATTTGTAACTACGTGAT